GCTCCATGTTTTATTCCCCCCATATCATCACTGTGGGGCTCGGTCCCCATCCTATGGGGCTCGGTCCCCTTCCTATGGGGCTCGGTCCTTCTCCGTGCCCCCAATTTTCCCCAAATCCAGAAGGGAGGAGAACAGCCCCAGCACGTTGCTGCGCAGCTCCTGAGCCAAAGGCCTCAGCTGCACCTCTGCACGCTCAGCATAAGCCCTGTGGGACACAGGGGGGCTTAGGGGGGGGGGGGGGGGTCCCTATGGGGCCGCCCCACATCCCAGCCCCACACGTACTTGGCCTGCTGCTGGATCTCGTCCGCCCGCAGGCGCTGGGGCAGCTCTTTGGTGATGAAGTCGCTCAGGGTCTGGAAGTGGCGGCTCAGGAGGGTGGTGGTGTCTGGGGGGGTCTCCGGGGGGTCTTCGGTTTGGGGCACGGCCGCGGCCCCCACATGGCACAAACAGAGCAGCAGCAGCGCCGCGACCCACAGACGTTTCATGGCAGTGGCTGAGGGAGGTGGTGGCCATGGGGCACCGTCCCCTTTCCAGGGGGCTGCACCCCATATTGGTGGGCCACAGCCCACCCCATTGCCCCGGAGCCACCCCACAACCCCTGCCTTGCTCCCACCTGTGCCCCACGGCTCCATTCCGCCCCGCAGCTCCATCTCACCCTATGGCCCCGTTCTACGCCACGGCCCTGTCCCACCCCCAGCCCCATCCTGCCCACCCGCACCGTAATCCCACCCCACAGCCCCTCACCAGAGCAGAACTGAAGACTGCGGTGCCTCTTTGAGGACTTCAGGTCCTTTTATCCCCCTGCTCAGCCCCCGCCCCTGGGCTGGGGGGCTGTGCCTGGGTAAACACCGCAGGGTTAAGGGTCACCGGTGGGGAGGAACAGCCCCACCTCAGCCCCATTGCGGGCGGCCCCGTGCCAAGGGGTCCCAGCCCTGTGACCCCTGGTGGCTCCTCATGGGGGTGAGGGGTGACACAAGCAGTTTCTCCATGGCGTGTTGCTACCCCACAGTTCTGCCCCAGGACCCCCCCCCCCCCCTCCCTCGTAGCCCCCTGGCCGCCCTCTCTCCACGATCCCATTTCTGTGCATGTATGTGGATGGAAGGGTCAATGGAGGGTGCTGCCCACCCACCCCCCCCACCCTAATTGCTGTTACCACCCGGGGGGTCAAAGGTCGTTGTCCACCCTTATCACTGACCCTCGGCCATGGTGTGACAGCGTCACACGCAGCCACCATAGGGGACACTGCTGCTGTTTGGGGACAACGTGTTCAAAGGGCACAGGGGTGGCTCTGGGGGCAACATCCATCTGTCCCCAATGGGTGGTGGGGGCCCTTTCCTGGAAAATACACAGAGGGACACAGGAAGGGACATGGGGGGGTCCAGGGACGTGGGGAGAACACATGGGGCAGACAAGAAGGCGGGGGACAGAAAGGGGACACGGTGGGGGCAGTGGGGAGGGGATGCAGGAGGGGGACATGGCGTATGGTTAGGGGACATGGGGGGGGCGGGCAGTGGGCACAGGGAGGGGCGTAGGGACGCTGAGAGGGGGCACAAAGAGGGACATGATGGGGGTGTAGGGAGGTGAAGCACGGAAGGATACGGGGACGCGCGGAAGAGACGCAGGCTGTGCCCGCGGGGAGGCGGGAGAGAACAGAGGGGACGCAAAAAGGGGGCGGAACTCGGAAACTGCGGAACTGTGCCACGATGGGGGCGGATTCCGGGGGGACGACGGAGCGCGGTGCACCGCTCCTTCGGGCTCAGCCAATGGGAGCGTAGCGCTGCCCGCACCCAAAATGGCGGCCATCCCACCCCTCCGCCTGAGCCAATGGGAGGGCAGCGTTGCCCGCACTCAAGATGGCGGCCTCGGCCTCAGCGTGGGCGCGGCCTCACGAATCCCTTCCGGCTGCGCTGCCCCCACCTGCGATGGCGGCGCCCACAGCGCTCGGGGGGGGCGGGCGGCGGCCGTAGGGCCGGGCCGGGCCGGGGGGGGGGAATGGGGAACGCGTGGGGTCCCGCCGTGCCCCGAGCACCGCGCCGGGGGGAGAACCTGGGGAACCCGGGGAGCTTCGATGAGCTGCACCGACAGTGCAAAGGTTGGGGGGGAGGAGCCGCGGGGGGGGGGGGGGGGAAATGGGGGAGTGGGGAGCGGAACGTGGGGGGCAGACGGGGAGAATTGAGGGGGGGGGGCAGAGCTGGGGGGGTGGGGGGTTGTGGGGGTCTTTGGGGTCACAGGGGACGCGGGGGGGGGGGCGGAATGGGGGCGGGCGGAGGGGAATGGGGGGGCGTTGAGGGGCACGGGGGGGTTATGGGCGACCATTGGGGACAATGGGGGCCGTTTGGGGGCATTGTGAGTGCGGGGGGGGCGTTTGGGGGGGGCAGGAGGAACCTGGAGGGGCATTGAGGGAACAGAATGGGGGGCATTGAGGGGCACTGAAGGGCATTGGGGACACGGGGGGGTTATGGGCGGCCACTGGGGACAATGGGGGCCGTTCGGGGGCATTGGGGGTGTTTGGGGGGGCATTGAGGGAACAGAACGGGGGTGCAGTTGGGGGGCAGTTTGTGGTGGGGTTTTGGGGGGGTTGGGGGTCTCCCCTCGATGTCCCCACGCCGTTTTCCTTCTCTCCCCACAGAGGTTTTCCCACAGCAGATGGAGGGCGTGAAGCTGATCGTCAACAAAGCCCTCAGCAGCCACTTCCAGGTCTTGGGGGGGGGGGGGGGGACACAGCGATGGGGGGGGACACAAAGTGCCACCACGTCCCTGTCCGCCCTCCCCACCCCCAAAGGCACTCATGCTGTCCCCCCCCCCCCCCCCCCCAGGTGACACACACGGTGCACATGAGCACCCTGGGCCCTTCTAATTACCACTTCAATGCCACCTTCGTTGGGGACCGGCAGCTGGGGCCCACTGAGGTGAGGGGACCCCGAAGTGGGGCCTTGGTGGGGGGGCTTCCAGGGGGTCTGTGGGGTGGGTGGTCCTGGGGTGGCTTTGGGGCGACGCTGGGGTGGCTGCAGGGCTCGGAAAGGAGCAAACCGGGTGTCCGAGGGATGGCAGTGGGGTGGTGTGGGGCAATGAGGGCACAGTTGGTGCAAGGGAGAGGTGGCACGGTGTCCTTGTCACCCCCTGAGCCCGTCCCCCATCGTCCCCAAGGCGTTCCCCACTCTGGTGGGGGACATGGACAACAGCGGCAGCCTCAACGCGCAGATCCTGCACCTCCTGGCCGAGCGCATCCGCACCAAAGCTGTCTTCCAGGTGGGGCTGGGGCTGTTTTTCCTTTTGGGGGGGGGGGGGGGTGACAACGGGGCAGGGGTGTCACCGTCACCCATTGCATCCTGTCCCCCCCCCCCCCCATTTCAGACCCACCAGGCGAAATTTGTCACCTGGCAATTTGACGGCGAGTATCGCGGGGACGACTGCACAGCCACCCTGACGCTGGGCAACCCCGACCTCCTCGGCGGCTCTGGTAAACGGGGCGTCCCCCCCTCCTCAGCCCCCCCCCCCCCCTAAAGTCCCCTTGTGGGGCCATCGAAGCCACCGGGCGCTGAGGTCCCGCTGTCCCCGCAGTGATCCTGGTGGCCCATTTCCTTCAGAGCATCACCTCCCGCCTGGTGTTGGGTGGGGAGATGGTTTACCACCGGCGGCCGGGGGAGGAAGGAGCCATCCTGACACTGGCAGGGAAATACACGGGTATGGGGGCGCCCGGCCGCCGCTGACACCGCGTCGTCCCCAGGGATGCCCGCGCGTCCCCTTGCCCGTCCTCTCGCTTCTTTCTTCCAGCTTCCAAGTGGGTGGCGACGCTCAACGTCGGCTACGGTGGCGCCCACGCGAGTTACTACCATAAAGCCAACGAGCAGGTGGGCATCTGGGCTGCTGTGGGGTGGAGAACCGCGGTGCCCTGGGGTGGGTGGGTTGGAGGAGCTCCTGAAGACCAGGGGACTGCGGGGGTCACAGCGTGGTTGGGTTGGAAGGGGGCTCAGGGACCTCAGAACTGTGGGATCTCAGTGGTTGGGTTGGAAAGAGGCTCAAGAATCAGGGAGCTGTGGGATCTCAATATGGTTGGGTTGGAAGGGATCCCAAAGACCAGGGAACTGCGGGGTCACAGCGTGGTTGGGTTGGAAGGGACTCAAGGGCCTCAAAACTGTGGGATCTCAGTGGTTGGGTTGGAAGGGGGCTCAAGGACCAGGGAGCTGTGGGATCTCAATATGGTTGGGTTGGAAGGGATCCCAAAGACCACAAAACTGTGGGGTCACAACATGGTTGGGTTGGAAGGGGGCTCAAGGACCAGGGAACTGCGGGGTCACAGCGTGGTTGAGCTGGAAGGGGGCTCAAAGACCTCAGAACTGTGGGATCTCAGTGGTTGGGTTGGAAAGGGGCTCAAGGAGCTGTGGGATCTCAATATGGTTGGGTTGGAAGGGATCCCAAAGACCAGGGAACTGGGTTGGGAAGGACCTGGAAGGATGCGGAATCACGGAGGCGTTGGGGGTTTGGCCTCAACTACGGGAAGTCGTGGGTTGATGGAAGGTTTGGGTTGGGAAGGACCCCAAAGCTGGCAGGTGAACGGGATCAGAGCGCCGTTGTGATGTGGGGGGCTCTAAGGACCACAGAACCGTGGGGTCGCAGCAGGGTTGGGTTGGAAGGGACCTCAGCCCCCCCCCAGCCCCACACGCTGGTGCCCCCCAGGTGCAGGTCGGCGTGGAGCTGGAGGCCAACACGCGGCTGCAGGACACCACCTTTGCTTTTGGCTACCAGCTCAACCTGCCGCAGGCCAACGTCGTCTTCAGAGGTGAGTGAGGGGCTGCAGCCACCCCCCACCCCCCCGTGTGACCCCAGCCGCTCACCCCCTTCCCCCCCAGGGCTTCTGGACAGTAACTGGAGCGTCGGGGCGGTGCTGGAGAAGAAGCTGCCCCCCCTGCCCGTCACGTTGGCTCTGGGCGCTTTCCTCAACCATTGGAAGAACCGTTTCCACTGCGGCTTCAGCGTCATCGTGGGCTGAGGGCCGGCGCCGCCACCGTCCTGCTCAGGGAGCCACGTGCCATAGGGGAACCCGGCAGCAGCCGCAGGGCCGCCCGCCCCACAGCCCGGCCGGGGTCTGCCAGCACCGTGGGACGCAGCGTCGGCACCAGGAGGATCTTTGGGTTGACGCGGCCGCGGTCGGGGGTTTCCATCCCGCCCACCCCGGAGCCGCTCTGCCTCAGTTTCCCCCCCTTTGGCCACGTGGGAAGGGGCTGGAAGCGCCCTGCAGAGCGCAGCCACAGAGCCTGGAAAAATAAAAGAGCTTTACTCTGCCCTGCAAAGCGCGACGGAGCCCCATGTGCGCGAGGGGAGGGGGCTGAGCGCCTGGCTGGCCTTCAGCTGACGATTTCGGAGAGCAGCGGCGTCATGCTGGAGAGCTGCTGGATGTGGAGGATCTGCCGCGTGTTCTCCACCTTCAGGGTCTGCAGCTCCGTCAGCAGCAGCAGCAGCTTGGCGTAGAGGAACCTGGGCCGGGGAGCAGCTGCTGGGCGCCCCGTGGTGCTGGGGGCGCCTTGGGGACCGGGCGGCGCTGGGGACGAGCAGAGGAGATGGGAGCAAAGCGTGGCGCTGGGGGTCGCGAGGTGGCGCTGGGGACCACGGGTGGCACCAGGAGCCACAGCCAGAGTTGGGGGTGAGGTGTGAAGGTGGGGACGACCGTGTGGAAGTGGGGAGCAGGGGTGGCACTGAGGGCGACCCCACAGCACTGGGGATCAGGTGTGCGAATGGGGACGGCCGTGGAGTCGCAGAGCAGCCGTGGCGCTGGGGAGCGGGGTGGCGGCCGTGGCGGCCGTGGCGGCTACCTGCCCTCGGGCATGGGGTGCTGGTGGTCGATGTAGCTCTTGAGCGTGAGGGCCACCTTCTCCTGCAGCTGGTCGATGAAATCCCGCTGGGTGACGCTGGCGTGGTCTGGGGGCGACGGGGGGCCGTCAGCTGGCGGCCGGGGGGAGGGAGCCCACGGCGGCCACCACGTCCCCTACCTGGCGAGAAGAGCAGCATGGCCAGCAGCAGGACGTACTCAGCCTCGTGCAGCCGCAGCTTCTTCAGGCTGACGTGGAACTTGAGCAGCGGCTCCAGGTAGATCTGCTGGAAGCCGGCTGTGCAGAGCGAGGCGACCGTGAGCCCAGATGGGGACACGGCCGCCCCGCCGCCCCTCAGCGCTCACCCAGAGCTCCGTCCTCGATGGTGAAGCAGTGCTGCCCGCACTCCCAGGCGTTGGTTTCCTCATTAAACACCGTGTTGGACTGGATCTGACAGATGCCCAGCGTGGCTCCTTTGAGCAGCGAGATCTGGTCATCGATGGGCAGCCCTCTGTGTGGGGACAAGGGGACAGGAGTGGGATGGGGCCACGTTGGGTTGTGGCACGGGGTGGAGGGATGGCATTGGGTTGGGTTATTGGATGGATGGGGGGATGGTGTTGGATTGGGATGGCATTGATTTGGGATGGCGTTGATTTGGGATGGCGTTGATTTGGGATGGTGTTGGATTTGGGATGGTGTTGGATTTGGGATGGTGCTGGATGTGGGATGGTGTTGGATTTGGGATGGTGTTGGATTTGGGATGGTGTTGGATTTGGGATGGCGTTGGATTGGGATGGTGTTGGATTTGGGATGGCGTTGGATTTGGGATGGCGTTGATTTGGGATGGTGTTGGATTTGGGATGGTGTTGGATGTGGGATGGTGTTGGATTTGGGATGGTGTTGGATTTGGGATGGCGTTGGATTGGGATGGTGTTGGATTTGGGATGGTGTTGGATTTGGGATGGCGTTGATTTGGGATGGTGTTGGATTTGGGATGGCGTTGGATTTGGGATGGCGTTGATTTGGGATGGTGCTGGATTTGGGATGGTGTTGGATTTGGGATGGCGTTGGATTTGGGATGGCGTTGATTTGGGATGGCGTTGGATTTGGGATGGCGTTGGATTTGGGATGGCGTTGATTTGGGATGGTGTTGGATTTGGGATGGCGTTGGATTTGGGATGGCGTTGGATTTGGGATGGTGCTGGATGTGGGATGGTGTTGGATTTGGGATTGTGTTGGATTTGGGATGGTGTTGGATTTGGGATGGCGTTGGATTTGGGATGGTGTTGGATTTGGGATGGCCGCCCCGGCCCCACGCTCACCTGAACGCTGGGATCTCCTTGGCGAATTTGATGACCTGCTGGATCATGAAGGTGCAGTTGTGGGCGATGTAGAGCAGGACGGAGAAGACGTCGGGCAGCACGTCCTCATCCAGGCAGTTCAACTGCGGGGCCAGGGGTGCCGAAGGTCCGGGGGGGCTCTGGGTGTGCAGGTCGGGGATGCAGAGACGCACAGCAGGCTGGGGGCAGAGCTGTGGGGTCAGCAGCCGCCCGGGGCTGGAAACCGACGGCGCCGTGGTTCCCAGCTCACCCGGTAGTGCTGGAACTGGGAGAAGCTGGAGTCGAAGGTGCGTTTGCGTGCGGCGATGAGGATGCTGATGAGCTCCTGCTGCTCCTCCGTCAGCCCCCCACGCTGCGCCCGTGCCAACCTCCTCTGCAGCCGCAGCGCCCGGCGCCGGCCCACGGCCTCCTCTGACATGATCACTGCGCCCCACGCGTGTCAGCAGCGCCAGGCTGGTGTCCATGGTCACCACCACCGGGCCCACGGAGCCGCCGGGGCGCCGCCGTCCCTCCCTTGTGTCACAACCCTGCGCCTTCAGCTTGCTCCCCTGCCCCTGTGCTCTGTGGCCCCTCTGGGTCCCCCTGCTGTCCCTTCTCCCTTTTGTGCAGCAGGGTCCCCCAAACGCCCCCGTGCTCTCAATGGCCTTTGTCCCACCTTCATCTCCCATCGCGCCATCTGACTCCCTCGCATTCCCTCTCTGTCTCCTGTCGTCCCACCCGATCCCCATCTCAGCCCCCAGTGCCCCACTCCGTCCCTCATCCCTTCTGCCCTCACATCCCCGTTTCCCCCCATCCCCTCTTCACCCCCATCCCCTCCCATCCCCCCTCTCTCAAAGCCCTTTCTCCCACCCCCTTGTCCCTCCTCCCCCCCTCCCTCCTCCCCCCACGCCCACCCCCATGGTGCCACTCACTGTCCTTCCTCATCCCCACGTCGAGGCACTTCTGCAGGCGGCACGCCTGGCACTGCCGGCGCTTGGCCTTGGTTATGGGGCAGCTCCGGGTGAAGGGGCAGGTGAAGTGCACAGCCTTAAGGATGGAGCGCCTGGGGGTCACGGGGATGTGGGGTTATGGGTGAGGGGGCCATGGGGCTTGGAGTCGGGGGGCTGGAGGGAGGCAGGAGAGGGGGCTGGAGGGATGGGGACAGGGGGACGTGGAGTTGGAGCCGTGGGATGGGGAGCGAGGGACGAGGGAATGTGGGACGTGGGGACATGGAGAGGAGCTGTGGGATGGGGGGACGTGGGGACACGGGACAGGGGGACACGGGGGCAGAGCTGAGCCGTGACAACCGGCGCCGTGCCCTGGGGGCAGAGCAGCGCTCAGGTTGGGGACGCCGCTGTCCCCGCTGTGCCTTCGCGTCCGCTTTCGTCCCCGCTGTGCCGTCCTCTCTCGCCCCCCCGTCCCCTTCTGTCCCCTTCTGTCCCCCCCCCCGTCCCTCTCCGTCCCCCCCCCGCCCAGCCCCGTCCCACCTGAAGAACCCTTTGCACCCTTCGCAGCTCATCACATGGAAGTGGTACCCGGTGGCGCGGTCCCCGCACACAGCGCACACCTTCGGCTCCTCGGGGACGTCGGTGACACTGGGGCAGCGCTGCGCCCCGGGGCTGTCCGGGTCCGAGAGGCTGGACAGGGACATGGCTGGGGACGGGACGGGGCCGTCAGGGGGGGGAGACGGCGGGGCTGCGTCCGCAAGGGGACCCTGTGGGCACCGCGCCTGCGGGACGGCGTGTGACGTTCCCGTGTGACGCCCGGCCCCGGCGCCGCGTCCCCTCCCTGTCCCCTCCAAGCCACCTCGTCCCACCGGCCCCACAGGCTGACCCACGGGCGGAAGGAGCCCTCCGGTACCTGGGCCGCTGTGCCCGCAGTCACCGCTGTGGTTGCGTCCCCAAAGTCCCCGCTGCTGTGGCCTTGTCACCGCTCCACGATCGTCCCCAATGTGGCCCCGTGGACTTTGAACTTTGAACTTGAGCTGCGGGGAGGCGGGGATGGGTGGCACGTTGGGACAGGTGGGGACATGGGTGGCACGTGGGGACGGGCGGGGGATGGCGCCGAATGGGGACGGGTGGGGGGCAGGGGGAGGGAGGTAAGGGACAAGAAGGGGACAGGGATGGGACAAGCACAGGGATGGGGAGACATGGGGACGGGGGTGGGGAGAAGCAGGGGAGAGGCTTTAGGATGAAGGTATGGGGACAGGGGACACAGAGGGGACAGGGATGGGGACAAAGTCGTGGATGGGGTGGGACTCGGGGATGGGAAGGGGGGGACAAAGCCAGGCTGCTCTCCTTTGGGTGTCCATGGTGTCCCCCAGGGGTTTGGGGTTGCACTTTTGGGAGACCCCACTCCTCCCATCGGGGTTTCTGGGTGTTCTGAGTGCCCCATAAGGGCTTGGGGGCGCAGCTTTGGGTCATGGGACGCTCCCTGCCCTGGGTGGGGGCCTTGGGGGGCAGCCTTGGACGGCCCCAGTGACCCCACAGGGTTTTAGGTTGCTCCTTCGGGGGCTCCTTGCCCATTATTGATGCTGGGGGGGCTCCTGGGATGTGGTTGGGTTGGAAGGGATCTCAGGAAATGCAGAACTGTGGAACCATCGGGTTTTTGGGGTTCACGGCGTCAAAAGTGACGGATTGGGAAGGGACCCAAAAGACGGATGGAGGCACGGGGTCAGAGCGCAGCTGTGCTGAGAGCGACTCTGAGGAGCACAGAGGCAGGACAGAGAGAAGAGCTTTACTGTGCCCTGCAAAGCGCAACGGAGCCCCTTCCGTGGGGACGGGGCTGAGCGCCTGGCTGGCCTTCAGCTGACGATTTCGGAGAGCAGCGGCGTCATGCTGGAGAGGTCCTGGATGTGGAGGATCTGCCGCGTGTTCTCCATCTTCAGGGTCTGCAGCTCCGTCAGCAGCAGCAGCAGCTTGGCGTAGAGGAACCTGGGCCGGGGAGCAGCTGCTGGGCGCCCCGTGGTGCTGGGGGCCGCCTTGGGGACCGGGATTTGTGGTGGTGTTGGGGATGAATTTGGGGTTGGGGACCAGGAGCTGCGTTTGGGATGACGGTGTGGAGTTGGGGACCATGAGTGGCACTGGGGTGCGTGGTGTTGGGGATGAGCAGGTGGAGCTGGGGACAACGTGGAGCTGGGGACAACATGGAGGTGGGGACAACATGGAGGTGGGGACAACATGGAGGTGGGGACAACATGGAGGTGGGGACAATGTGGAGCTGGGGACAATGTGGAGCTGGGGACAATGTGGAGCTGGGGACAACGTGGAGCTGGGGACAATGTGGAGTTGGGGACAACGTGGAGCTGGGGACAATGTGGAGCTGGGGACAACGTGGAGCTGGGGACAACATGGAGCTGGGGACAACGTGGAGCTGGGGACAATGTGGAGCTGGGGACAACATGGAGGTGGGGACAACGTGGAGCTGGGGACAACGTGGAGTTGGGGACAATGTGTGGCCCTGGGGGCGACCACGTGTGGAATTGGAAGGACCGATGGAGTTGGGCACCACACGTGGTGTTGAGGATGACGCCGTGGCTTTGGGGACCGTGTGCAGCACTGGGGACCACGTGTAGAGTTGGGGACGACCGTGTGGAAGTGGGGAGCAGGGGTGGCACTGAGGGCGACCCCACAGCACTGGGGATCAGGTGTGCGAATGGGGACGGCCGTGGAGTCGCAGAGCAGCCGTGGCGCTGGGGAGCGGGTGGCGGCCGTGGCGGCCGTGGCGGCTACCTGCCCTCGGGCATGGGGTGCTGGTGGTCGATGTAGCTCTTGAGCGTGAGGGCCACCTTCTCCTGCAGCTGGTCGATGAAATCCCGCTGGGTGACGCTGGCGTGGTCTGGGGGCGACGGGGGGCCGTCAGCTGGCGGCCGGGGGGAGGGAGCCCACGGCGGCCACCACGTCCCCTACCTGGCGAGAAGAGCAGCATGGCCAGCAGCAGGACGTACTCAGCCTCGTGCAGCCGCAGCTTCTTCAGGCTGACGTGGAACTTGAGCAGCGGCTCCAGGTAGATCTGCTGGAAGCCGGCTGTGCAGAGCGAGGCGACCGTGAGCCCAGATGGGGACACGGCCGCCCCGCCGCCCCTCAGCGCTCACCCAGAGCTCCGTCCTCGATGGTGAAGCAGTGCTGCCCGCACTCCCAGGCGTTGGTTTCCTCATTAAACACCGTGTTGAACCGGATCTGGCAGATGCCCAGCGTGGCTCCTTTGAGCAGCGAGATCTGGTCATCGATGGGCAGCCCTCTGTGTGGGGACAAGGGGACAGGAGTGGGATGGGGCCACGTTGGGTTGTGGCACAGGGTGGAGGGATGGCGTTGGGTTGGGTTATTGGATGGATGGGGGGATGGTGTTGGGTTGGGATGGCGTTGATTTGGGATGGCGTTGATTTGGGATGGCGTGGATTTGGGATGGCGTTGGATTGGGATGGTGTTGGATTGGGATGGCGTTGATTTGGGATGGCGTTGGATTGGGGATGGCGTGGATTTGGGATGGCGTTGGATTGGGGATGGCGTTGGATTGGGATGGCGTTGGGTTGGGATGGCGTTGATTTGGGATGGCGTTGGATTGGGGATGGCGTTGGATTGGGGATGGCGTTGGGTTGGGATGGCGTTGGATTGGGGATGGCGTTGGATTGGGGATGGCGTTGGGTTGGGATGGCGTTGGATTTGGGATGGCGTTGGATTGGGGATGGCGTTGGGTTGGGATGGCGTTGATTTGGGATGGTGTTGGATTTGGGATGGCGTTGGATTTGGGATGGCGTTGGATTGGGGATGGCGTTGGGTTGGGATGGCGTTGATTTGGGATGGCGTTGGGTTGGGGATGGCGTTGATTTGGGATGGCGTTGGGTTGGGGATGGCGTTGATTTGGGATGGCGTTGATTTGGGATGGCGTTGGATTGGGGATGGCGTTGGATTTGGGATGGCGTTGGGTTGGGATGGCGTTGGATTTGGGATGGCGTTGGATTGGGGATGGCGTTGATTTGGGATGGCGTTGATTTGGGATGGCGTTGGGTTGGGGATGGCGTTGGATTTGGGATGGCGTTGGGTTGGGGATGGCGTTGATTTGGGATGGCGTTGATTTGGGATGGCGTTGGATTGGGGATGGCGTTGGATTTGGGATGGCGTTGGGTTGGGATGGCGTTGGATTGGGGATGGCGTTGGATTGGGGATGGCGTTGATTTGGGATGGCGTTGATTTGGGATGGCGTTGGGTTGGGGATGGCGTTGGATTTGGGATGGCGTTGGGTTGGGATGGCGTTGATTTGGGATGGCGTTGATTTGGGATGGCGTTGGATTTGGGATGGCGTTGGATTTGGGATGGCGTTGATTTGGGATGGCGTTGGATTTGGGATGGCCGCCCCGGCCCCACGCTCACCTGAATGCTGGGATCTCCTTGGCGAATTTGATGACCTGCTGGATCATGAAGGTGCTGAGGTCGGCAAAGTGGGGCAGGACGGAGAAGACGTCGGGCAGCACGTCCTCATCCAGGCAGTTCAACTGCGGGGCCAGGGGTGCCGAAGAGACGCCCGGTCCAGGGGGGCTCTGGCAGTGCAGGTCGGGGATGCAGAGACGCACAGCAGGCTGGGGGCAGAGCTGTGGGGTCAGCAGCCGCCTGGGGCTGGAAACCGACGGCGCCGTGGTTCCCAGCTCACCCGGTAGTGCTGGAACTGGGAGAAGCTGGAGTCGAAGGTGCGTTTGTGTGCGGCGATGAGGATGCTGATGAGCTCCTGCTGCTCCTCCGTCAGCCCCTTGGGCTGCATCTGTGCCAACCTCCGCTGCTGCCGCAGCGCCCGGCGCCGGCCCACGGCCTCCTCTGACATGATCACTGCGCCCCACGCGTGTCAGCAGCGCCAGGCGTGGTGCCGAGCGCGGCACCGGGTGCACGGAGCTGCTGGGCTGCCACCATCCCTCCCTCGTCTCAACCCCACAACCCTGCGCCTTCAGCTTGCTCCCCTGCCCCTGTGCTCTGTGGCCCCTCTGGGTCCCCCTGCTGTCCCTTCTCCCTTTTGTGCAGCAGGGTCCCCAGACGCCCCCCGCACGCCCGCCGTTGTCCCACTGATGTCCTCCAGTCTCCTTTGTCCCACTGGGGTCTCCCGAATGTCCTCTCTGGCTCCTCTCAATGGCCTTTGTCCCACCTTCATCTCCTGTTGCGCCATCTGACTCCCCGCATTCCCTCTCTGTCTCCTGTCGTCCCACCTGAGCCCCATCTCAGCCCCCAGTGCCCCACTCCGTCCCTCATCCCTTCCGCCCTCACATCCCCTCTTCACCCCCATCCCCTCCCATCCCCCCTCTCTCAAAGCCCTTTCTCCCACCCCCTTGTCCCTCCTCCCCCCCTCCCTCCTCCCCCCACGCCCACCCCCATGGTGCCACTCACTGTCCTTCCTCATCCCCACGTCGAGGCACTTCTGCAGGCGGCACGCCTGGCACTGCCGGCGCTTGGCCTTGGTTATGGGGCAGCTCCGGTTGAAGGGGCAGGTGAAGTGCACAGCCTTAAGGATGGAGCGCCTGGGGGTCACGGGGATGTGGGGTTATGGGTGAGGGGGCCATGGGGCTTGGAGTCGGGGGGCTGGAGGGAGGCAGGAGAGGGGGCTGGAGGGATGGGGACGGGGGGACGTGGAGTTGGAGCCGTGGGATGGGGAGCGAGGGACGAGGGAATGTGGGACGTGGAGAGGAGCTGTGGGATGGGGGGACGTGGGGACACGGGACAGGGGGACACGGGGGCAGAGCTGAGCCGTGACAACCGGCGCCGTGCCCTGGGGGCAGAGCAGCGCTCAGGTTGGGGACGCCGCTGTCCCCGCTGTGCCTTCGCGTCCGCTTTCGTCCCCGCTGTGCCGTCCTCTCTCGCCCCCCCCCGTCCCCTTCTGTCCCCTTCTGTCCCCCCCCCGTCCCTCTCCGTCCCCCCCCCGCCCAGCCCCGTCCCACCTGAAGAACCCTTTGCACCCTTCGCAGCTCATCACATGGAAGTGGTACCCGGTGGCGCGGTCCCCGCACACAGCGCACACCTTCGGCTCCTCGGGGACGTCGGTGACACTGGGGCAGCGCTGCGCCCCGGGGCTGTCCGGGTCCGAGAGGCTGGACAGGGACATGGCTGGGGACGGGACGGGGCCGTCAGGGGGGGGAGACGGCGGGGCTGCGTCCGCAAGGGGACCCTGTGGGCACCGCGCCTGCGGGACGGCGTGTGACGTTCCCGTGTGACGCCCGGCCCCGGCGCCGCGTCCCCTCCCTGTCCCCTCCAAGCCACCTCGTCCCACCGGCCCCACAGGCTGACCCACGGGCGGAAGGAGCCCTCCGGTACCTGGGCCGCTGTGCCCGCAGTCACCGCTGTGGTTGCGTCCCCAAAGTCCCCGCTGCTGTGGCCTTGTCACCGCTCCACGATCGTCCCCAATGTGGCCCCGTGGACTTTGAACTTTGAACTTGAGCTGCGGGGAGGCGGGGATGGGTGGCACGTTGGGACAGGTGGGGACATGGGTGGCACGTGGGGACGGGCGGGGGATGGCGCCGAATGGGGACGGGTGGGGGGCAGGGGGAGGGAGGTAAGGGACAAGAAGGGGACAGGGATGGGACAAGCACAGGGATGGGGAGACGTGGGGTGGGGGGAAGCAGGGGAGAGGCTTTAGGATGAAGGTATGGGGACAGGGGACACAGAGGGGACAGGGATGGGGACAAAGTCGTGGACGGGGTGGGGAAGATGTGGGGAGAGGCAGGGATGGGGACGGGGATGGGGACACAGGGGGCAGCGATGGGGACCAAAGTCGAGGCTCAGACTGGGGGGACGCGTGGGGGGTGTGTGTGCGGAGAGCCCCGCCCCCCCTCTCTTCCTATTGGCTGCCGGCGGCTGTCACTCAAGCGCGCCCCCTTTAAAAGCGGAGTCGGCGCGGAGCGGCGCAGAGCGGCGGATGGCGATGAGTGCGGTGAGAATTGGGGGGAAAAAAGGGGAAAAGGGGGAAAAAAAGGGGGAATAAAGGGGGAATAAAGGGGAAATCCGGGGTCACCCGCTGTCACCCGCTGTCACCCTCCGTTCCCCGCCGTTACCCGCTGTCTGCTCTCCCCGCAGCGCAGCCCCGATGCATCCCCGCGTCCTACGGAGGCACCCGGAGGGCAGCAGGAAGGTGAGGGACCCCATCTGGGGACTGCAGAGATGTGGGGCGGGGGGGATTCGGGGATGGGGAGGAGGGGGGGGGACGAAGCCGCGCTCCTTTGGGTGTCCCCGGTGTCCCAGAAGGGTTTGGGGCTCGCAAGTTCCCCCATTGGGGTTTTGGGGGGGCAGCTCTGGGTCATGGGGCGCTCCCTGCCCTGGGTGGCGGCCTTGGGTGGCCCCAGTGCCCCTATGGGGTTTTGGGGTGCGCCTTTGGGTGCTCCTCGCCTTGTGTTGATGCTGGGGGGGACTTTTGGGGTGCGCCTTTAGGTGTCCCAGGATGGTTTTGGAGCGCACCCCGGGCTTTCCCGTTACAGACGGCGCTTTTGGGGTCCCCCGTTGCCCTCTATGGGGTTTTGGGGTGCGCCTTTGGGCGCTCCTTGCCCCGTATTGACATGGGGGGGGGCTTTTGGGGTGCACCTTTAGGTGTCCCATGAGGGTTTGGGGCTGCATTTCGGGTATCCCCATTACAGACGGGGCTTTTGGGGTCCCCCGTTGCCCCCTGTAGGTTTTTGGGGTGCACCTTTAGGCATCCCACGACGGTTTTGGGGCGCACGCCGGGTTTCCCCATTACAGACGGGGGCTCTTTTGGGGTCCCCGCGTCTCCCTGACACAGGGAGGGGGTGCTGGCATCGATCCGAGGGGCTGCGAGCGATGCGGCCCCTTTTGTGTCTCTTCCCCCGACCCCAAACCCCGCAGCCAAAGCTGCCGACCCCAAAAGGACGGAGGAGGAGGAGCTGATCGACATCGATCTGAGCGCACCCGAAACGGAGCGGGCGGCTCTCGCCATCCAGGGGAAATTCCGCCGTTTCCAGAAACGCAAAAAGGAATCGGGACCCTAAAGACCCCCCCGCCCCCCCCCCCCCCCCCCCCCCATCGCCCCTCCGACCCCATTATTCGCATAGGGGCCGCAGCCCCATCCCAACCCCCCCCCCCGTCCTCATTATGGGGGCTCAGCTCTCCTATGGGGTCAACGTCAAGAGTTCAGCCCTAACCTATAGGTGAGGTGCCCCCCCTTTAATGTGGGGGGTTGGGGGGGGGGGTCCCCCGATGTCCCCCAGCCCTGCCGTAAGGGGGGGCACCTCTCCATCCCCCGGCGTGACCCCATTTGTCCCCCTTAATGGTGATGCTGATGCTGGGGGGGGGGGGTTATGGGATGGTGTCCCCCAAATGAGAGACCCCCCCGTGTCCTCTTAAAGGGGCAGGGGCTGTTGAAGGCTGTGTCACCCGTGTCACCCGTGTCACCCACCCCCCCCCCGCACCCCCACTTTGCTTTTTGGGGGGGTGAGCACTGGAATAAAGCAGTGGGAGAAGAGAGCTGGTGCGATCTGTGCGGGGTCCCCCCCATCCCCCCCCCCCCGGAACCCCAAATCTCTCCGTGGCCCCTTTTAGGGTGGCGCTGACCCCATCAGAGGCGTCCCTTTGGGGTCGGGGCGTTGGGGCCTCGGCGGGGCTCAGCTCTGGATCCTCACCCCATCGTTGGGTTTCCCCCTCCCCACTCAAAATCCTCGGGGCTTTGGGGGTCGGTGGCGGCGCGGGTTCTATGGGGTGACGTGGGGACAGCGGGAGCGGTTGGGAGCAGAAATAACTCGGGATAGGAAAATAATCCCCGGAGCCAAGAGGAGGGGACGCCCCGTGGGGCTTAGGGCTGCCCCATAGCGCTGCCCCCGTGCGCTCCGCAGACTTATTAGGGCAAAGCCAATTATAGGGTCGTTTGGGTGGGGGCTGCGGGCGCTGCGGGGTCGGGGCACAGCGCCATAATGCGGGGCTGTAGGGTGGGGGCAGACAGAGCCAGGTCCCAATGGGGAGACGGGAAAGGAGGGACGGGGGGCCCCAAATCCACCCTATAGCTTCTTTTTTTTTGGGGGGGAGGGGGGGTTTAATTAACGCCGACGCGATGAGAGGCGGGGAAACCGCAGCTCGTAACGGGGGGCCGCGTGCAACGAGTTTGCGAGTGCTCAGCCACCCCCAGGGGACCCCAAAAAGCTGAACGGCCGTGGGGATGAGGCCCCAAATCCTCAATGGGGCGCACGGGAGATGTGAGTTTTATTAAGGGCGCTGCGGGCGTGGGGATGAAGGGGGGGGGGGGGAAGAGAGCAGCGCCTCGAAGCGGGCGGGGGGCAGCGCAGCCTCTCCTCCTCTGCGAGGCTTTGGGGTCGGGGTTATGGGGCGGGAGGGTTAATAGGGCGGAGGGGACGGGGCGGGGGGTTTGGGGGCGCCCTGCGACGTCATCGTGGGTCGGTCGCTGGGAGAGACGAGAAAACGGCGAGAAAAGGGGAAAGAAATGGGGAAGGAGGGAAGGATGGGGATGGAGGAACGTGGGGCGGTCGGTGGGGCGGCGCCGTCCCCGAGGAGGGGGGGGACGGAAACAACCGGGAGCGGGGAGCGAAAATTCGACGGATTTGGGGTGGGAATAGAAATAAAAATTACATCAGAGCTCCGGGGGGGGGAAAATGGGGGGGGGGGGGGGAAGCGGTCGCGCAGAGGAAGGTGCCGATATTGGGGGGCTGTGGGGTACGGAGGGGGGGGGGGACCCGGGGGGGAGCACCACACCCTGCTCGTCGCCGGGTCCCCGTTGCTGGGGGGGTCTTGGGGTGGTTGGGGGGGGGGTTGGGGGTCACCTCCCCACACGGTTGGGGTGCAGGAAGCTCCGCAGGGCGCCCGCCAAGCTGCCCCGCGATGGGGAGCGGGTCGGGGTCTCCCCCCGCAGCTCCATCTCGATGGTCATCACCACCTTTGGGGTTTTGGGGGGTCCCGCGGCGCTCTCCCCATCTGGAGGGGGGGTTGGGGCACCTTCCCTGCCCTCTAACCGCTATTTTTTATCCTTTCGGGCTTCACCCGCAGCTCCTTTGGGTTTTTTCTCGGCGCTCGCTTTGGTGCCGCGGCTGTGATCCAGCATGGCGTAAAGCACGGGAGCCTGTGGGGCCGCCGAAGCCCCTCGTCACTCCATTGTCACTCCATTGTCGCCCCATCGTCGCCCCATCGTCGCCCCATCGCCGCCCCCACCCCGCAGAGCAGGAGGCGACAATCGCACCCTTTTGTCCCCTTTTGTCCCACCTGCCGGCTGCGCTTGGAAGCGTCTTTGGCCGATCTCTGCAGCTTCCCCTTCTCCATGGCGCTGTAAGGGAGGGGGGCGCCGAGATGGAAGCCGTCAGTTCCCGTCCTGGGGGGGTTTTGTTCTCCCCCCCCCCCCCCAGTTTTTGGGGGCGACTCACCTCAGGCGTCTCTGCAGCACCGCCTGCCTGCGCAGCCAGCAGAAACGCAGCAGGTAAACCAGGGCCACCAGCAGGGCCACCAGCAGGAGGGCGACGCCGATGATGGAGCCCAGAACGATGCCGTAACGAGTGGGGACTGCGGGGCCATCGGGGCCATCGGGGCCATCGGGGCCATAGGGGACATCCCGTGGGTGTGGGGACAACGATATGGGGATGGGGACAGAGGTGTGGGGGCACGGGAGGGATGGGGACAGGAATATGAGGATGGGGACAGAGATATGGGGACATGGATGGGATGGGGACGTGGGTGGGATGGGGACAGCAGTATGGGGGTGGAGATGGGGACAGAGATATGGGTAGGGGATGTGGGTGGGCATGGGGACAGGAATATGGGGATGGGGACGATGATATGGGGTGGGGGTGATGATATGGGGTGGGGGTGATGATATGGGGTGGGGACAATATGGGGATCGGGACATTATGGGTGTGGGGACAATGATATAGGATTGGGGACAATGATATGGGGATGGGGATAGGAATATGGGGATGGGGGCAATGATATGGGGTTGGGGTGATATGGGGATAGGGACGATGATGTGGGGTGGGGAAAACGATATGGGGTGGGGACAATATGGGGGTGGGGACAATGATATAGGATTGGGGGCAATGATATGGGGATGGAGACGATGATATGGGGATGGGGGCAATGATACGGGGTGGGGGTGATGATATGGGGTTGGGGGCAATGATATGAAGGTGGGGACAGGAATATGGAGTGGGGACAATATGGGGACGGGGGCAATGATATAGGATTGGGGTCAATGATATGGGGACAGGGGCAATGATATGGGGATGGGGGCAATGATATGGGAGTGGGGACAATGATATGGGGTGGGGGTGATGATATGGGGGTGGGGACAATATGGGGGTGGGGACAATGATATGGGGATGGAGACGATGATATGGGGGTGGGGACAATGATATGGGGGTGGGGGCAATGATATGGGGTTGGGGGCAATGATATGGGGGTGGGGGCAATGATATAGGATTGGGGGCAATGATATGGGGACGGGGGCAATGATATGGGGATGGAGACGATGATACGGGGATGGGGACAGGAATATGGGGACGGGGACGATGATACGGGGATGGGGCAATGATATGGGGGTGGGGGCAGCAATACGGGGTGTCAACGTGGCCGGCCGTACCTTTCTCTAAGACATAAAGGGTGACCTGGGAGGATTTCCCCACGATGTCGGGAGGGTTTTTGACGTCGCAGGTGAAGGTGCCGTTGTCGGTGTAGTCCAGGTTGTGGATGACGATGGATCCGTCCTTGCGCCGCGGGTTGCCCACCCACTCCATGCGCTCCTTGAAGGAGCCCACGTCGTCGATGTAGGGCTGCCCTTTGGCGTAGTGGAAGATCTGCGGGCGGAGAGGAACGGGGGGCGCTGTGGGCGGCGGCGCGGGGGGCGACGGGGGGCCGAGGGCGGAGGCGGCGCGGTGCTCACGGAGATGCTGTCGCGGCTGCCCTCGGCCTGGAAGTGCCACGTGATGGAGATGTCCTCCGAGATCCATTCGCTGGACCAGAAGCTGCACGACAGGGTGACGTGGGAGCCCACGGTGCCGTACACCTCCCGCGGGGTGTAGACGTGGATGGCCGACGTGGGGGACGGCCCTGAGGGGGGGGAGAGCTGTCAGCCCCATGGGGACACCGGCGTGGCACTGGTAGAGCCATCGGTGCCGTCGGGTCAACAGCACGGCACCCATAGAGCCATGGTGCCCCATGGGGATGCCAATATGGCACCTGTAGAGCCATGGTGCCCCATGGGGACACTGGAAAGCCATCAGCACCAAGGGGACACCGGTGTGGCACCAGGAAATCAATCAGCCCCATGGGGACGCCAATATGGCATCAGTAGAGCCACGGTGCCCCATGGGGACACTGGAAAGTCATCAGCCCCATGGGGACACCGACGTGGCACTGGTAGAGCCATCGGTGCCGTCGGGTCAACAGCACGGCACCCATAGAGCCACGGTGCCCCATGGGGATGCCAACATGGCACCTGTAGAGCCATGGTGCCCCATGGGGACACCGACGTGGCACCAGTAGAGCCAGGGTGCCCCATGGGGACGCCAATATGGCACCTGTAGAGCCATGGTGCCCCATGGGGACACTGGAAAGCCATCAGCACCAAGGGGACACCGGTGTGGCACCAGGAAATCAATCAGCACCATGGGGACGCCAACATGGCACCCGTAGAGCCACGGTGCCCCATGGGGACACTGGAAAGCCATCAGCTCCATGGGGACACCAGCGTGGCACTGGTAGAGCCATCGGTGCAGTCGGGTCAACAGCACGGCACCCATAGAGCCAGGGTGCCCCATGGGGACGCCAATATGGCACCCGTAGAGCCATGGTGCCCCATGGGGACACTGGAAAGCCATCAGCTCCATGGGGACACCGACGTGGCACCTGTAGAGCCATGGTACCATTGGGTCAACAGCACGGCACCCATAGAGCCATGGTGCCCCATGGGGATGCCAACATGGCACCAGTAGAGCCATGGTGCCCCATGGGGACGCCAACCTGGCACTGGCAAAGCCATCAGCCCCACGGGGACACCCAGCAGCCCTATGGGAACAATAACCAGCCCCATAGGGACACCAGCTGCCCTGTGCCACCACGCCGTGCCCAAGTCCCCGAATGCCACCAAGGGGTTTTTGTTGGCAGGGACAGAGGCTCCTTGTTACGGTGGCCGTGGGGACGCGTGGGGTGGCGCTGGGGTCTCCTCGCAGCCCCACGGCGGTGAGCAGCAGTGGCCCCGATGATCCCTGTGGGTGTTTTCCGCTCTGTGGGTTCTGCGAGCTGCTGATCCCTCGATCCCTCGATGCTGTGGCCCTATGATTCCACGCTCCTACAGCGCTACGATTCTGTGACCCCGTGATCCCACGGCTCCGATCGCAGCCCTCCGTGTTTCTGGGTCTGCGCTTCTGTGCTCCTACAGTTCCACGTCCCTACAGACCCACAGCCCGCACTCCTACCATCCTCTCTGCAGCTCCATGTTTTTGTGACTCCACCATCCCACGAGTCCGCGATCCCACGATTCCACAACCCTACAGGTCCACCACCCTACAGTTCTACAGCCCTGCATCCCACATCCCCGTGATCCTACAGCTCCAGGATTCCTACATCTCCGAGATCCTACAGTTCCATGGCCCTCCGTCCCCAGGATCCTCCGTCCCGATGGTCCCACATCCCCACCACCCCACACCTCCATGATCCTACATCTCCGTGGCCCCACGGTCCCACATCCCCACCACCCCACACCTCCAAGACCTTCCCTCTCCGCAATCCTACATCCCTACGACCCTCCATCCCCACGACCCCACATTTCCAAGCCCCCCCCATCCTACACTTCTCCACAATCCTCCACCACCCAACCGACCTCAACGACGACCACCCCGTTGCCCCCACACCGCCTTCCCCCCCCCATTATCACCCCCTACAACCATCCCCGCCGCCGTCCCCGCTCACCCAACGCCGCCAGCAGCCCGGCGAGGAGGAGGAGGAGGCGTCCGGCCCCGATGGCACCCGGCGCCATCTTGGTGCTGTCAGAGGGTGCCTGGAGGGCGGGCTGTGGGGTTTAAGGGCCAGCAGCATCGAGTGGGGCCAACGGGAGGCCAATGGGATGAGGGCTGTAGGGCGGCTGAGTCCCCCGGGGGGTGGGATTTGGGGACAGGGGACATTTTGTTTTGGGGTTGGGAGAGGAGGGGAAGGCATGCGGTGGGCACAGAGCGGGCTTTGTGAGGCTGCATTCCCTGAGGGAACGGGGGCGGGAGGGGAGGAATGTGGATGGGGATGGAGGGGATGGGGGGCATGCGGGGATGGGGACACGGGTTGGGGACACGGGGATGGGGACGTGGGGATGGGGACGTGGGGATGGGGACATGGGGATGGGGACATGGGTAGGGGGATGTGGGTATGGGGACACAATTATGGGAACAAGGGTATGGGGACATGGGTTGGGGACATGGGGATGGGGATGTGGGGATGGGGACACAATGATGGGGACAAGGGTATGGGGACATGGGGATGGGGATGTGGGGATGGGGACACAGGTATGGGGACACGGGTAGGGGGACATGGGGATGGGGACCTGGGGATGGGGATGTGGGTATGGGGACATGGGGATGGGGACACAATGATGGGGACACGGGTATGGGGATGTGGGGATGGGGACACACGGATACGGGGACACGGGATGGGGACATGGGGATGGGGACAGAGGGATGTGGGGACACACAGGGACACACAGACATGGGGGTATGGGGGCAAGGGGGTGCGGGGACACACAGACATACGGACAGACGGACATCTGGAAACAAGGACACGGGGACGAACAGACACGGAGATGTGAGGACAGACAGAGGGACGGGCGGGGATGCAGGGACACGGGGACGCATGGGCGTACGGGGACATGGGGACAGACGGACCTGGGGCCATTAAGTCACATAGGGACAGACGGACATGGGGACACAGCGGCAGGGATCTGGGGACACATTTTGCCCCCGTGGCTCCCGGCAGCCTCCGATTTTGGGGTAAAAAACCGCATTTTGCTTCTTGCTTTTTGTTTTTTTTGCCGCGCGCGTCGCTGGGTCAGGAGAGGACCGGGAGGGGGGGGCGGGGCGAGGCGAGGGGAGCGGAAGTGCGTCACCGGCACTTCCGGTGAGCGCAGCGCTTCAAGATGGCGGCGCTGTTGTTGAGGTGACTCCGTGCGGGCGGGGCCTCCCGTGTCCCCCGTTTCCGCGTCCCCGCTTTTTGTGTCCCCCGAGAAGAAGGGGGGGGGGGGTGCAGCTGGGGGCTTTGTTCTGGGCTGGGATCTCATGTGTGGTCTGTGCTCCTGTCTGCAGCTTCTGAGGGAGGAGGGTTGAGGACGGGGGCAGCGGGGGGCCTGCAGGCAGAGGTGGCAGCTCGGCTCTGCTGTGACTCTGCTCAGAGCCTTCAAACACAGAGGCGTCGTTGTTCCTGCGGGATGAGCAGAGGCGGTGGGGATGGAGAAGCAAACAGCTTCCAGTCAGCAGCCGAGGGGGGAGCGCAGGGAGGGGAGCTCAGGTGGGGGTCGGGGGGCTGGGATTTGAGGTTGGGGGGGGGGATCCGTGGTGCCCAATGGTGGCTCTGCGTTGGGAGCTTGTGCTGCCGCGGGAGGCCTTGGAAAGGAAGCATCCTAAGGGCGCTGTGGTACAGGGGAGCTCCTCAGGGCTTCCTTATGGAGGAGGCGGGGCAGCTGTGACAGCAGGGCAGCTTCTGTGCGGCCGCAGGAAGGCAAAGGGCGGCAGAGCTTCGCTTCTCCACCGCTGCCAACCCTGCAGCCGGGCAGCAGTTGGATGAACGACCCCAGCGCTGCTCCACGCCTCCTCCTTTGTCCTTCATTCCAACCCACATCTGCAAGCCTTCGAGCTGCGCCAGGCCGGGGGCTGCGGCGGCTCCTGGAGAGCTGCTCACAATCGCTGCTTTGCTCCGTGCCCGGTGGCTCCCACTCCTCTGCTCTGTTCTTTTTTTGTGCCTCTGCTCTCAGCTGAAACGTGGCGACAGCCGACCTGCGTGGCTGTGATGGATGGGAGCCTGGGGGGCGTTCAGGGGAACGGGGGGGGGGTTGGGATGCGCCCCCATCCCTGGTCGTGGCTGCGGTGAGGGGGCACAGCCTGGTTGGGGCTGCGAGGCTGGGTGCTGTGCAACAGGGAGCTGCTGGATGTGGGGCAGAGCCGGGCTGTGGGCTCAGCCTGGAGGCCTCAGCAAAGAGCAGGGAGTTTTTTCCTTTTATATGAGGGGGGGTCCCAGAATCCCAGCTTGCTTGGCTCAGCTGAGGCCTCCCAGCCCCCTGCCTGTGGGTCTGGCTGCCCCTCGCCTCTCCTGCTGCCCAGGCTGATTTGTGACCAGACTCAGAGCCGCATCCTCTCGCATGCAGCCCGATTTTAGGACCCCAAGCTCTGCAGAGCCGCATTTTGGCCCCACAGCAGTGATGTTTCCTGCGTCTCTGTGGCTCTGACAGCTTCTCCCCCTCCTCTCTTACAGATGCGTCTCTCGGCGCTGCCTGCTGGCCCGGCTCGGCCCCTCGGTGCACCAGTGAGTGTGGGGCGCTGTGGGAAGCGATGGATTCCCTTTTCCCCCTTGGGATCCCATCCCCTCGTTCTGCCCCACGTCTTGGCTGCCTGCTGCCTTTACCCTCGGTGGGGCAGCAGCGTTGCTGAGCCTGAGGAGGGCCGGGAGCTGCAGGAAATGCCATCGCCACCCCCTGCGCTGCTGGGCTGAAGGAGAAACGCTGCTTTTCTGCTGCTTTTCTGCTGCTTTTCTGCTCGGTTGGGCTGGGATCTCGGGCGCCTCGAGTCACAGAGCCCTGCTTTGGTTCCGGCTGTCAGCTGCTCTGATCTGCCGCCCCTCCTTCCCTCCCCTCTTCTTTTCGCAGCGTCGTCCCCATGGCCACCACAGCCAAGGAGGAGATGGCTCGTTTCTGGGAGAAAAACACCAAATCCAGCCGCCCGTTGTCCCCTCACGTCTCCATTTACAAGTAAGGCTCCGCGCGGCAGCGGCGACGCGAGGCTGGGGGCCTCCCTGCCCCCCTTCCTCCCCCCCCCCCAGCTCAGGCTGCCCCCAGCTCCCCCCCCTCGGAGCTTTCTCAGCAGATGCCCTCCCCATTCCTGCGCCGTCCCCAGGCTGCCTCCTCACATTCCCCACTTCTCTCCCTTTTCCCTCGGCCCCGGATTCCTGGGATGACTGAGCGGCGCTGAGCTGCGCTTCGTCCCACGGCTCCCTGCCCCCCTCCCCCCCCTTTTTTTTTGCTGACAAACTGCTTCTGTTGCAGGTGGTCGCTGCCCATGGCCATGTCCATCACGCACCGCGGCACCGGCGTTGCTCTCAGCTTAGGTTTGTGCTCCTCTGGCTGCCCTGGGGTTCGGAGCTGCGGCTGCTGCCGGACGTTTCCCCCCCTCGGTTCCCCTGTTGTAATTCTGCCTTCAGCCGCGGGTTTCCTCCCCTCTTATCCCCCCCCCGTGGTGCTGCAAAGCTCTGCAAAGCGATGCTTTAAGCCCTGGAAGCCTCCATAGCGCTGCCTGCATGGTGAGGGGCTGCTTTCTTCCACGGCTCCCCCCACGAGGGGGCGCACGGCGCTGCTCTGCTGCCCTTCTGTCCCCTCTCACACGGCGCCGAAGCCCCGGGCCCTGCAGGAGGGCAGCGCTGGCACCAAGCGCAGCTCTGCGGATCCTCCATAGGGCAGCATCTCAGCTTCCTAAAAGCAGGGGAAGGCAGAGCTGGCATCAGAGGGGGTGAAATCCCCCCCCCTGCCACGGTGCGACTCAACCGCAGTCTGTGAAAGGCCGCTTTATTTGCACCGTGCTGCCGTGGCAGCCAGGATGGGGGCTTCTGTGGCAACATGGGGGGGCAGCAGGAGGAGCTGGAGGGGCTCCTGCAGGAGGGCGCAGAGGGAAGGGGCTGAAAAACACCCACAGCACTGAGCTGAGCCTCCTTCATCCTGAGGGTGAGCAGCCAGCGCTGCTGCAAGCGCCCAGCTGTGAGGTTTCACCTCCGGGCCTGGAGGGGGGTTTGTGGGTCCCAAAGCTGCTGCTGCATTTCTTGCTGCCGCATAAAGGAACCCATGGGTGGGGAAGCCGTCGATTTCGAGGCTGCTGGAGCACAGGGGGGGGGCAGAAACGTTTTTGTTGAGAAGAGGGGGAAGAGCTCAGCTCCGCTCCAGCAAAGGCTGCAATCAGGGGAAGCTTCCTGCGCCCCACACAAAGGGGGAGGAGGAGGAGATGAGGGCTGCAATCAGCTGCCATTGAGCACAGCAGCATCTGGAGCCAGCAGCACTGGGAGGGAGGAGGAGGAGGAGGAGCTGCAGGGTTCCTTCAGGCTGTCCATCCGTCCGTCCGTCCGTCTGTGGGTGCTGGGGGGGGGCTGCTGCCCTCTGTGTGGGGCTGCATTGGGCCACGTCCCCCCACCTCAGCTGGGCCTCCAGCCCGATCCCTCTGCGTCTGAGCTCATGGTGCTCTGCTCGCTGCCCTCGGTGCAGGACCCCCATCCCATGCTCTGCCCCCCATCCCATGTTCTGCCCCCCATCCCATGCATTGCTGCCCCCCATCCCATGTTCTGCCCCCCATCCCATCCCATGTTCTGCCCCCCATCCCATGCATTGCTGCCCCCCATCCCACACTTGGCTGCCCCTCATCCAATGCTCTGCCCCCCATCCCACACCTTGCTGCCCCCCATCCCATGCTCTGCCCCCCATCCCATGTTCTGCCCCCCATCCCATGCATTGCTGCCCCCCATCCCATGTTCTGCCCCCCATCCCATGCCTGGCTGCCCCCCATCCCATGCTGTGCCCCCCATCCCATGCATTGCTGCCCCCCATCCCATGCTCTGCCCCCCATCCCATGCTCTGCCCCCCATCCCATGCATTGCTGCCCCCCATCCCATGCTCTGCCCCCCATCCCATGCTGTGCCCCCATCCCATCCCATGCTCTGCCCCCCATCCCATGCTCTGCCCCCCATCCCATGTTCTGCCCCCCATCCCATGCTCTGCCCCCCATCCCATGCATTGCTGCCCCCCATCCCATGCATTGCTGCCCCCCATCCCATGCTCTGCCCCCCATCCCATGTTCTGCCCCCCATCCCATGCTCTGCCCCCCATCCCATGCATTGCTGCCCCCCATCCCATGCTCTGCCCCCCATCCCATGCTCTGCCCCCCATCCCATGCATTGCTGCCCCCCATCCCATGCTCTGCCCCCCATCCCATGCTCTGCCCCCCATCCCATGCATTGCTGCCCCCCATCCCATGTTCTGCCCCCATCCCATCCCATGTTCTGCCCCCCATCCCATGCGCTGCCCCCCATCCCACGCCTCCCTGCCCCACACGGAGCCCCACAGCCCATGGGCTGCTGCAGGACGATCCTCCTCCCTCTCGTTTGCCCCCAAACCTGACCTGGGGCCGCTGCCCCCCCATAACCTCCATGTTGTGTCCCTGCAGGAGTTTCTCTCTTCAGCCTGGCCGCCCTGCTGCTCCCGGAGCAGTTCCCTCACTACGTGGCCATGGTGAAATCGCTCAGCCTTGGCCCTGCTCTCATCTACTCCGCTAAATTCGCCCTGGTTTTTCCCCTCTCCTACCACACCTGGAATGGAATCCGGCACCTGGTGAGCGAGCTGCGTGTGCACAGGAGGCTGTGGGAGGTGGGAAAGGTGCCTTTGGGAGCAGGGATGAATCTGGGTGCTGTTTCTGAGTGCTCTGACTGATGCTGTGCGGGGCGCTGTGCTGATCCAGGGCATCCCCTGCCCCGTGTCCCTGCGTGGGGCACAGAGGAGCCCTGCAGAGCGGCCGCCCCTCGCTCCTCATCCCTTCCCCTGGCTGTGCTGCCATTTCCAGTGCCCTGTGCTGATGAAGGAGCCTGGCAGGGGCTCTGCAGGGCGCCTGGAGGTGGAGATGGGGGCGCAGGAAGGGGCGTCCAGCCTGGGACGGGGGTTGGAGCTGAGGCTCAGCTCAGCCAAACTTCTGTGTTTGGGGAAGGAGGGGGGGGGAGCGGGGCAGGACGTGAAGCTTTTTGGGGCTGCTTTGGTGTTTCTGCAGCTCCTGAGGGGTCGGGTTTGGCGGCAGCTGCCATCAAGCTGTGCAGCTTTGGAGCCGCGCTGCTTTGTGACCCATTTCCATCTGCAGGAGGGGGGCAGAGCAGCAGCCGCTGATGCGGAGCTGAAGGGAGCCCTGTTTATGGGGGGGGGGGGATGAACAGGGGGTCCTGGGAGCCCCCGATGTAAAGGATGGGGGGAGGGGGGCGGTTTGAAACCGAAAGAGGGGAAATTTGGGTCGGCTGTGAGGAGCAAATCCTTCAGCAGGGAGCCGCGGGTCCCCATCCTGCAGCGCCCCGGTTTGGGGGCAGCGGGGGGGGGGGCGCCGAACCCATGGCAACGGTGGGGCCGGGGGGCGGTTGAGGCCCTTCTGACCCCCCCGGGTGTTGCAGCCCCTCTGCGGTCCTTTCCTGCCCCATAACTCTGCTTCTCTTCCCTCCCTGCAGGCGTGGGATTTGGGGAAAGGCTTCAAGCTCAGCCAGGTGCAGCAGTCGGGGCTTCTGGTGCTGATTCTGACCCTGCTCTCCTCCGCCGGCATCGCGGCGATGTAACGCAGCTCCTCCCCCATCACCGCGTCCCGAAGGGCGGCAGATGGATTCCAGCTCAGCCCTCCTGGCTTTGGGCAGACAGAAAGGGGGGCAGGGCAGCGTTTTCCCCCCCCCCCCAGTCGTGATGCGGGGCAGAGGCTCAGCCCTGCTCTGCTCTGCGCCCCTGGGTTCCTTCCTTCCCCTCTGGGATTCGTTGGCAATAAAGCAGCTTCGGTCCCCGTGCTGAGGCTGAGCTGCTGCGCTTTGGCCCCGATGGGGGGCGGTTGGCGCCGAGCTGAAAGGAAACCGGCTTAAAAGCGGCCCGGAGCCGCTGGCGGAGCTGGGAGAAGCGCCGACCTTCGGAGTTTGGGCGCTGCGTTCCGTCGGTGCGATGCTGCCGGCGGTTTCCTCCTTTCCGCCCCGCGCTGCGGGTGTTGGCGGGGCTGCGGCTGCGCCGGGGGAGCTTTGAGCTGCGCTCTGTTGGGTTCCGATGGCTTCGAGCCGCGCTTTGCTGCTTTGCTTTGCGGAGGAGCCCGTTGGGGTCCCGCCTCCCATCCGCAGCCCTGAATCCCGGCTCTGCGGGGCGGAATCTGACGGCGACACCCGGCGTCTTGCGGCCCCCAACTTCCCGCAGCGGCCGAAACGGTTTTTATGGGGAGCTCCTTTTTATTCGCCGAGCCTTAAGGAGCCGCTCTGCTGGCCGGGCCGGGCTTTGGCTGCGCCCTGCCGGCTCCGCGCTGCTCCTGCAGATCTGGGGAGGGGGGGGAATCGCCTTCAGGCTTCGCTTCGGCCCCGTTTCTGCCCCGCGCCGCCCCCAGCGCTGCGTTCTGCCCCTCGCTGCTGCCGCCCCGTTGCTCCCCTGCTGCCGCCGTGGGCGAAGGCTGCGCTCCGCGCCCGTCCTCAGCGCCGCTCCTCGGCTCCAGGGCGGCACCAGGAGCCCCGCGGCTCTGCTGGGGCTGTGAGGGGAGATGGAGACGGGGGGGGGGGGGGGGGGGTGTGAACTGGACGTGGGGATGGAGGGGGGATTTGGGGACCCCGATGGGAGGGGAGGGGAGCGGCGCCCACAGCGCGTGGCACCGAGCTGAGCGGGGCAGAAAGCCCCCAAAATGGGGGGTCAGCATCGCTGCCGTCTCAGGGAACGTTTGGTGTCGGGAGACCACGGGGGGCACCGTGAGGGTCACAAGGGGTGACGAGGTGGCGAGGAAAGGTGACAGAAAAGGTGGCACCGGTGTCCAGGTGACACGACGTGGTGCCGTGGTGGCACGGCTCAGGGGCCACCTCCAGCCCCGAGGTGACTCGGTTTCAAGGCGGCGTGGCGTCAAAGCGACGCGGCATCACGGTGACGCGGCTCAGCGGCCACCGCCAGCACCCAGGGGACGCGGCGTCGCGGCGCCGAGCTGCCGTGATGCCGAGGCCCCAAAATGCCGCGGCCAAGGGGTCCCCGGGTCCCCGGTTGTCGGGGGGGGGGGGGGGGAGGTTGGGCGCCCACCTTCCCAGCCGTGTGGGCGCTGAGGCCACCGCAGCCCCCCCAGGGCGCTGGGCATTTCTGCATCCAGGCGCGGAGCTGCGCGGCGGCGGCGGCCGAACGGGCCGTGAGGTTCAGCTGCGGGGGGGGAATCCGGGCCGGCATCTCCCACGTCCCCAAAAACGTCCCCCATGGGGAGGCCTGGAGGAGAGGAGGCGTTGGGGGGGGGGGGGGGGTGCGGGGCTGGAAGAGGGGGGGGTCGGGGGGGGGGCTGCACGCACCTGGGAGCGAGGAACCGAGGGCAGCAAATGGCCGCGATCGTTGGCTACAGGTTGAGTGGAGCCGTCCCGGGGGGAGGGGCGCTGGGGGGGGCATAAATGGGATGGGATGGGGGGAGCGTGGGGGGGGATGGGATGGGGGGGTCAATGGGGTTGGATGAGGGGATGGAAGGGATCGGGGGAGAATGGGGGGGGTTCGGGGATGGGGGGCACGGAGGGAGGATTTGGAGGGCTGGGGGGGGATGGGGGGCTGTGGGGATGCCGTGGGGGTCTGAATGGGGTTGGGATGAAGGTGGGTGGGGGTCGCGGGGGGTTGTGGGTAGAAGTGGGGGGGGGGGGGGGACGGAGGAGTGCAGGTGGTGTTGGGGGGGGGGGGGGGGGGCGGCCGTTGGTGCAGGTGGGGGCGTCGCAAGGGGGGTCGGGGGTGGGATGGGGGGGTCCAGGCGGCCCCGGGGTTGGCGGGGGGTGGGATGGGGGGGGTCCCGGTGGGGTCCCGTCGTTGCGGTACCTGCCGGCAGCGCCGGGCAACGCTCCAGTTCTGCAGGCGATGGGGGGTGAAGGCGTCCTCGTACTGCGGGGGGAGCGCAGACGATGGGAGAACGGCTCCCCTCGGCCCCGGGATCCACGAATCCGGGTCCTCCCGACGGCTCCGGGTTCGGTTCCCTTGGACCCATTTCCCCCCCCCTCCATCCCACCCCTCCATTGCAGCCCCGCTCCCCACCTGACCCGCGCTGAACCGCGCCGCCATCGCAGCGTCCGCCGTCTCCTGGCAACCGCCCCCCCCGGGACGCCTCAGGGCGCCGCCTGGCGGCCGAAGGGGGGAAATGCAGGGAACGGCCGCGGCTCCGCGTTTGGGGTCGGAGCAATTCGGGTTTTGGGGTCGGAACAATTCGGGTTTTGGGATCGGAGCAATTCGGGTTTTGGGGTTGGAACAATTCGGGTTTTGGGGTTGGAACAATTCGGGTTTTGGGGTCGGAACAATTCGGGTTTTGGGATCGGAACAATTCGGGTTTTGGGGTCGGAACAATTTGGGTTTTGGGGTCGTTGTGCCGAGTTAGGAGTTCAGCATGGGGTCAGGACTGGAGCCGGGTTGGATGGCTGTGCGACGCTCGGGGTCAATGCCATCATGGGGGTCAAAGTTGGGCTCATCAATCACGATTGCCGTTAAACAAACGCCCCCCCCCCCCCTTTTTGGGACCACGCGGTGGGGCAGCGCTTCGTTCACTTTGGGTTTATTTCCTTTTGCCTGATTTCTTCCCTTTATTTCTCTCTCTTTTTTGCCATTCCCAGCTGCTGCTCCCGGTGCCGACGGCGTTTCCAACAAACACCAAATCGCTGCGGCCAATCGTGGGGGGGCACCGGGCAGTGGGACGGATGGGGGGGGGGGGGGGGACACAAGAAATAAATAGCGTGGAAATACGATACAAAAAACGGCCAAAAAGCAAAATCATCACGAGAATCATTCAGCCCCCAAAGCTTGTGGCGAACGAAGCGACGCGTCGAGGTGGAGGCGGGGAAGAGGCGAATTCTTGGCTTCGGTTTTGCCACGGAGAATCCATGGAATCGGGGCCGGGAGCCCGGAGAGGGAATCGATGCGGGGTTACAGAGCGGGGCAGGCGACCTGGTGCCGGATGCCTTCGTTGCAGAGCAGCGCGGCCGCGCGCTCGTCGCCGTCGCCGTGTTGGCACTGCATGTAGCTGATGCCGTGGGGCGAATAGGGGTGGGCGCAGACGTTGCAGGTGCGGGTCATGGTGCCGCCCGTGCTGCTCCTGAGGGGAGGGGGGAGGCACAGAGAGCCCCCCCGGGGGCAGACGTCAGAACCCAGGGCTGCCCAGAGGTGTTTGGTGGCTCCCGTGGGGCCATCGGCTCTCGGTTGGAGCCCCTCGGTGGCACCAAAGGATGCCGTCGGCCCTTGGTTGCATCCCATCGGTGGCAGCCGTTGGTGCCATTAGGACTTGGTGGCTCCTAGTGGTGCCATCAGCTCTTGGTGGCATCTATGAGTGCCATCGGCTCTTGGTTGGGTCCCACTGGTGGCACCCATCAGTGCCATCAGATCTTAGCTTGGTCCCGTTGGTGGCAGCCATCAGTGCCATTAGGACTCAGTGGCTCCTATCGCTGCCATCAGCTCTTGGTTGGACCCACCTGGTGGCACCCATCGCTGCCACCATATCTTAGTTGGGTCCCCTTGGTGGCAGCCATTGGTGCCATTAGGACTTGGTGGCTCCTATTGGTGCTATCAGCTCTTGGCTGGGTCCCATTGGTGGCAGCCATCAGTGCCATTAGGACTTGGTGGCTCCTATCAGTGCCATCAGCTCTTGGTGGCATCTATGAGTGCCATCGGCTCTTGGTTGGGTCCCACTGGTGGCACCCATCGCTGCCACCAGATCTTAGTTGGGTCCCATTGGTGGCAGCCATCAGTGCCATTAGGACTTGGTGGCTCCTAGTGGTGCCATCAGCTCTTGGTTGGGTCCCACTGGTGGCACCCATCAGTGCCATCAGATCTTAGCTTGGTCCCGTTGGTGGCAGCCATTGGTGCCATTAGGACTTGGTGGCTCCTATTGGTGCCATCAGCTCTTGGCTGGGTCCCATTGGTGGCAGCCATCAGTGCCATTAGGACTTGGTGGCTCCTATCAGTGCCATCAGCTCTTGGTGGCATCTATGAGTGCCATTGGCTCTTGGTTGGACCCACCTGGTGGCACCCATTGCTGCCATCAGCTCTTAGTTGGGTCCCATTGGTGGCAGCCATTGGTGCCATTAGGACTTGGTGGCTCCTATCGCTGCCATCAGCTCTTGGCTGGACCCCCTTGGTGGCAGCTGTTGGTGCCCTGAGTGCTTGGCGGCACACATCGTCCCCCATCACTCCTCATCAGCGCTTGGTGGCCCCTCCAGCAGCACCCGTTGGCACCCACCCCCCCCCCCCAGCAGCACCCATTCTGGGTGGCCCCCAGAGGTGACGCGTGGTGGCCATACATACAATGGTGGCACCCGGTGCCGCCCATGGGCTCGGCACCCATTGGTACCCACCCCACAGACCCCCACAGACCCCACAGACCCCACAGACCCCCACACCCACCCTCGTCCCCCCGCCCCTCACCTGCACTCGCTGCAGCTCCGCTGGCACTCCTTCCTGCGGTAGCGGCACAGCAGGGCCCCGATCAGCAGCCCCAGGAGGCTGAGCAGCAGCAAGGAGCCCAGCACGGAGCCCACGATGACTCCCGCCTGGCGGCCGCCTCCTATGGGGACAAACAGCTCGTCACCGTCACCGTCGCCCCACAGGGACCCCCGGAGCCCCCCGGCGGCACTCACTCTGTGCGGGGCTGAGGCTGAGCTGGCACGTGGCGTAGCCCACGCGGTTGGTGACCCGGCATTGGTAGACGCCGGAGTGAGCCTCCGAAAGGCTGCGGATCAGGAGGTCACCGGGAGCACGGCCTGAAGGGAGGGGGATGGAGTGAGAGTGGGGACAGGGGGACAGAGAGGGGGACGTGGGGGTGCAGGGTGTGGGGACACGTGGGGACAAACGTGGGGATATGGGGACATATATGGGGATATGGGGACATATATGGGGATATGGGGGCTTGGGGATGCATGGGGACACACATGGGGACAAACATGGGGACATGAGGACATACATGCGGACATGGGGGTACAGGGGTGTGGGGACACACATGGGGACAAACGTGGGGATATGGGGACATATATGGGGATATGGGGGCATGGGGACACACATGGGGACACACATGGGGACAAACGTGGGGACATAGGGGTATGGGGACACACGTGGGGACTTACATGGGGACATGGGGACATAAAGGGGAACATGGGGATACAGGGGTGTGGGGACACACATGGAGACAAACATGGGGTTATGGGGACATACATGGGGATATGGGGACATATATGGGGATATGGGGGTATGGGGACATACATGGGGACATGGGGACATACATTGGGATATGGGGGTATGGGGATATGGGGACATGCATGGGGATATGGGGTGCAGGGGGACATGGAGTGAGGGGATATGGAACATGGGGACACAGGGATAGGGGTGTGGGGACAGGGGGACATGCAAGGGGATGGACATGGGGACATGGCGTGCAGGGATGTGGGGACACAGAGTGGGGGGATATGGAACACGGGACGTGGGGACGTGCAGGGGGAGCTGGGTGCAGGGAAAAGGGGGAACGGGGACAGGGGGACATGGGGTGCTTGGGGACATGGAGACACGGCATGCAGGGACATGGGGACACACGGACATGGGGACACACGGATGTGGGCGTGTGAGGACACTGCTGACGGATTTGGGAGCACGCAGACAGGAGCACGGGTGGACATGTGAGCACAGGAGCACGGATGTGAGCGCAGACACGGGCAGAGCAGGCGAGCATCCGCACCACCTCCATCCACACCCGTGGTGCACGTGGACACGGGGACACACGGACATGGGGACACACAGACATGGGGACACACAGACACAGGGACACGTGGATGGGGGCACCGCTGGACACCCACAGACACAGGGCTGAGCCCACCAGACGAGCGCGGCTGGGGGCGAATGTGGTCACGGCCGCACACAACACGAGCCTCTCACCCCCTGCCACCCCCCATCCCAGCCCCCAGCGCCCACCTTGGATGGTTCCTTGGGGCAGCCGTCCTCCTCCGTACCCATCTGCCAGCTTGGCCCACTGGTAGGCCAGCGGCGCGGCCCCTCCGCGGCTGTAGCAGCGCAGCAAAACGCTGCCGCCCTGCACCTGATCTCCTTCTGTCCAGCACTGCGGGGCGGCCGGCTTCTCTGCGGGGCGAGGGGCAGCGTCACCACCAGGGGTGCGGGCACCACCGGGGCCATTGGCGCCACCGGGGATGCGGTCATCACAGGGGACGCGGTCGTTAGCGGGGGCATCGTCATCACCTGCGCCACCATCACCACCAGGGACAGGGGTCACCACCGAGGCTGCGGTCACCGCACGGGGCGCTGTCACCACCACCGGGGCCACCGCCACCATTAGGGACACCGACTGCCGGCGTTGTCACCGCCAGGGTCACAGAGACCAGCACCAGGGTCGCGGTCACCACCAGGGACATTGACGCCCCGCAGCCACTGTCACCATCACGGTCACGGTCTCCTTTGGGGCCACCATCACCACCAGGGCCACCGTCACCTCTAGAGCCACCGCCACCATTCGGGACATCGACACCAGCAGTGCCACCGCTCCCATCGTGGACACGGTCACCAGCTGGGACAATGCCACCACCACAGAGGGACACGGCCACCCCCGGGGCCGCCACCACCTCTATGGCCACCGCCAGGGACATCGACTCTCCGCCGAGGGACGTCGGTGTCGCCACCATCCGGCAGGGGGACGGGGGTCTCACCTTGCACGGTGACGATGACCTCGTGCACGGCCACCGTGTTCTTCTTGACGCGGCACTGGTAGGTGCCGGTGTCGGAGACCTGCAGGTCGGCCAGGCGGATGGAGGCGTCGTGCTGCCCGGGGTCGTTCTGCACGAAGGCCACGCGGTCCTGCAGCCCCGAGCCGCTGCCGTAGTTGACGTGGTGGTCGTGGTAGGAAAGGAACTGGATGGGGTGGAACGGGGGGGTGAGGGAGGGCAGAAGGGGCTGCTGCATCCCCGGTGTCCCCGCGTCCTTCCTGCATCCCTCCTGCTCCATCTCTCCTCATCCCTTTGTCCTGCCCCAAATCTGCTCCTCCACCTTTCTTTGTCCCATCCTTCCCATCCCATCCTATCCCACAGCATCCCATGCTATCTTACC